GTTTATTTTGAATTTTAATAAACTAAACGTTCACCAAAAAACTTTAGTGAGAAAAATCGAAAAAACGAACTACAAACATATTAACGCCAAACATTCGGTAGAATTTATAGAATATTGTAAATATATAAATATATATATATATATATATAATTCAATTGAAGTCATTATTCATTGAAAATGACTGAGCGCGAAACGAATAAAATAAAAATCATGCCAGCAATTTGTCAGCGTAATTTGAGTTGGATTTTTGCATGAGTTATAATTTCACTAAAATAAAATAACTGAGTGATTTATGCATTTTAATGAAAACATTGGAATATCTTCCGAGCAATGACATTTTTCAACGCAAGTGAATTAGACAAATTGAATCATTTATAATATTTAGTAAATTAAATTCGGCAACAAGATTACATTTCAGTTTTTAACACAATTTACATAGTTAGAAGTTTTCACAATTTTAAAATTGTATAACTTTTAATTTTACAATTTAACGTTAATTACAATTTCATAAATTTCAAAAGCGTTGGTAGCAAATGAAATATGCAGAAAGTTGCAGGTCGTAAACAGGAGAGTTATGCATGGGAGTATTTTCAATGTGATCCGCTAACAGATAAGAAAGAGCACGCGTTTGTGTGAAATCTCGCACCAGCGCCCATGGATTTCAAAACTGAAACTCGAAATAAAACTCAAACTTAAAATGTAAAACTCAATAAAAACTGCAACTGGAAAAAAGAAAAAACTATAGCTTAAGGTTAAATTAAAATAAACTTTACAAAACGCCATACAAACTCAAACTGTAAAAAAAACAAAGTTTAGCAACACTTGCGTGTGCTAAACATACAAAAAGTATGTAAGCCAACACGTCAAAAGTATGAATGTTGCAGCCTTTCAAAACTAAGTAAGCAGGAAACAGTATTATGAGCAGCATTTCGTTTGTCAGAGCTGAATGATGAAGAAGGATAATTAAGTTTTTTTCTGCGTCTTTATTTGCGAAAAATACTTAAAACATGACACATTTTCTAAATTACACACTATATATAAAATTTAAATTTTTAAAAAAGATGTTTAAAAAAGTAAAAATTTTTATTGGAAAATAATTTTGTTAAACTCAGTCACTGCTTTCCGATTTAACCTATAAGATTTCCAAGAAGTCGGTTTCGGCTGTCTGAAAAGTTTTGAGGAATTTGAAAGAAATTTTTTAAGAAAGGGTACGTGTCAAATGGAGAAACTTTAGGAATTGAAACCGTTGAATGTTTGTCAAAAAATTTCAATTTTTAATCCATGTAGACAAAAAAAACTTGTCATCAAATTAATAAAAAAATATAACGATCTATATTAAATATTGATAAAATTTTATGAAAAAATTAAAATTCAAGAATTGAAACTTTTCAGTAGGTGACCTTTAAAATAAATATTTAAAAATTAATTGCCACTAAAATACGCAGAAAAAACTAACTTCAAATTATCAAAAAGTGGTATGCAGTAGAAAAAAACTTGGCTGACTCACTCCTAGAGAAGTAACTTATTCAAAATTTACCATTCCTACCCAGAAAAAAAAGAAAGTTATTTAGCAACTGAAACCTAAAATCCCACAAATTCCGTTGTCCCATCTTTTTTCTCAATTACTCATTCAGCAGGAAAATCTAGATCCCTCGACTACTCAGTCATTTGACATCTTTCCTTGCTTCTGCATAACTCCACACACACACGCGCGCGCACACACACACACACACACGTACACCGCACACACACGCACGTATATGTATGTATGCATGTATATATTTATATATATATATATATATATATATATCTGTGTGTGTGTGTGGTGTGTGTGTGTGCATGTAGTATAATGTAATAAATTTGTATTCACCTGTTCTATTACTTTCAATTTATATTTGTTTATTATCTATTCAACTTTACACAAGCATTTCGTTAGTTTAAATAACGGACCAAAAATATGAAGGGCATAGTAGAATGATTAATTAATATTATTGCAATAGAATTCAATGAGAGACAAACAACTGTGTGTCAGTCTGCACCTTTGTCTGTCCCGTCACGTAGTAGTTCATTAAGCTGCTGTTGTATTTGTTTCCAATGAATGTCGTATGAATCTAAGTGGAAGAGAATAGTGAACGGAAGCAAGAACGTCTGTGGGCGGCAAAATATTACGAAGATTTATTATTCCTCTAATGTAAACAGAAATCATTAACAAATTTTTATATTTATAAATGTACATTGTATATTGTACAGTATAAGTTGTTGGGTATAAAAAAGCGTTGAGAATTAATATTTAACTTTTAAATGTTACGAACAAAATATATAATTTGTTTTATTATTGGTTTTGATTGATGAGTTCAATTTCTATAACGTTTATATCATTTGCTGCAATTAATTATAAAAATGTATGCGTTTTAAAATCGCCCACATATCAGTTTTCCATTAAACAAAAATTATATTTATTTTGAAAAAAAAGAACAAATGTCACTGTATAATAGATAACAGTTTAATTTCAATTTTGAGTAAAGTTTGTTTAATTTCTATAAAAAAAAACATTTGATGATTACAAGATTGTCAAAAACTGCATCAATTCATATTTGTTTCTAATTTCATCAAAAAAATGTTTGGAAGACCATCCAACTTCAACAATGTCAGATTACTTCACATAATATTTTCTTTTTGGGAGCAAGTAATTGTATAGAAATTTAAGAAGGTGGAGCCTGGTAGTCAACTTGCAACTGGCAATACTGAAACGTTATTCGTCCATATTAGGCGTGCCACAACGTAATGAGAATTTTCAACATGACGTTTGATGCCCATGACGCAGCTGACGGTGAGGTTTCGATGTTGATGTTTCAAATGTTGATGTTTCAAAGTTAGTGTTTCAATTGTTGATGTTTTGATCTTGATGTTACGAGTTTGATGTTAGTAGCATGTGTCTTTAAAATTTATTTAGTTATAGAAACAGAGTTGGTGACCAAGTAACATACGCTGAAGTGATAAGAAACACGACAGCAGCAAAAGCCTGCATACATGTTGTTCAGTGCTTTATGCTTTCTCAAATTCTTCGAAATATTTTCTTATATGTGGCCAAAGAAAATATTTATCAATAAGTAAGTCAAAAAGTAAGGAGCTTATGGTTTCAAACTAAGATGTTAAGATTGATAAAACGACTTTTTAGACGAAATTTTGATGGTGATGATAATATAAATGATTACAAAGATGATGACAGATGATGTTTATAATAATGACGAAGACGATGATGCTAATGATCAAAGGACGGCCTGGACACCTGGACAACTGGCTGGACACCTGGACACAATGATAAAGTAGTAAGAATTTCAAACTTATTCTGTAGGTCATGCTGATGTTAAAAATTGCCAATAAAAAAATTGTAATGATTATGAAAATGCTGATAAAGATAACCTTCCCCTGTCTGTTCACAAGCATAGTAGCTCAGTCTCTTCGTGTTTTTATGATAGCTGCTACTTACCAACACGCAAATCACTTTTGTACTTTGTGTCAACTTGTTGAAAAATTTGTAGAAAGTTGAAAAATTGTGATTTCAATTTTCTAAAGTTTTTAAAGATTACCTCATCACTCACTAGCATTCATTGCCTAGCAATTCCTCGCAATCACGTTACAAGCACTTGATGTGTTGCTGCTCCTGAGCAAACAACATTCTCAAAATTTTCAAACCTGTCAAACATTCATTAACATATTTCTTAACACGTTGATACTAGCAAACAAAGTAGCTTAGGAATTGTTAATTGTCCTGTCATCATACACCAGCCAGTTTTGCTATCTGCTGAACTCTCAGGAATAAACATCGCAGTTCATCTGCTCAGTTCGCACGCACTAATCCTTGAAGGAATCCTACCTAACTGATGATGTTCGTTGATCCGAGCGGTCCTGATGTCATACGTGAAGGGTTTTTTTTTATATAAAAAATGTTATTTGCATCTATTGCTAACGATGATAACTAGGCTGAAAATGATGTTTGTGTTGTGATGACGATGAAGATAACGACTGCAATCATTATGAAATCAGGGTGTGATGAAATGATCCAGATGTATGGCATGGTATGGTATAATGATTGTTGTAATGAGGAATAAACAAACAATAAAAAAGAATGGTGATAAGTGGGTGACGATGAAAAATGATGACCTGATGGCCTAATGTGCCTCTCAATTGTCACCGGATGACCAATGTGACCGTCTGTAACTTCATTATCGTTTTTTTTTTTATTGCCAGTCCAAGGCAGTAAATGTAGTTATTTGCTGACCAGAAGTTGCGCAAAATTAAATTAACAACAGCACGATGTATGATACCCTGTACAAGTAGGAATATAACGAGCACCACTTCAATCTATACCTACTGGCCAGAGAACGTCTCTTGAAAACACAATTCAATTTCCCAGAACTGACAACACACATCACATTTTCAATCAGATCAACAGAATACAAAATTAGAAATTATTAACTTTTTCATTGAATCGGTAAAATCTGGAAATAAGCCTCGCATGCAATGAAATGTTCACGCAAAGTTCGAGCTCAACTCAGGCACTGTGGTCGCCCTAACGAGCAATGTAAACATTGATAGCATTAATGTGGCTTTGTACTACACATGCCAAATGAGCTGTAGGCCGATACAATTTATGGACAAATACGAGGAAGCAAATAAGCAGATAAGAAGACCATGCATAGTACATACTCCTGCCAATATCTTGATGAACATCTTCTATGGAGACAAAGACGATGACAAAAATGAAAACCTATTAGAAGCGGCGTATGGATTAGTTAATAAGTAAAAAGGCAACAGATGAATCACGCAACATTTTTAACAAAGAGTAGTGACTTTTCTTTTTTTCTTTCTTTGCTTTTCCGTACTTTTGCACTGACGTCTGCATCTGAAATTGCTTTGAAGTATATGCTTGTTAAAAATATAAGCGACTTCAATGTAAAGAGGATTAAATTTACTTTTATTAATATTTAGTGACCGCA